ACGTAATCTAATAAATTTTACACCATGTTTCACACAAAATCAACTCAATCTTGGACAATTCAATCACTTATTGTCCAATGATGCGAGTAAAGATTTAACATAAGCAACCGCCTTTGCCTCCAAATTCTCACCCTGATATCTCGGTTGACCGAGGTGTTCCGGATTCAGAATGCCCTGATAGTCAGCATCTCGCAAAGCAGCGATTATGGCGGGGAGATCGACCCGTCCCTCGCCAAGAGGTCCCTCCCGTCCGGAGGGCCATCGATCGGAGTGATCTCGCAGCTGGCAGAAATGAACCTTATCCGCAAACTCTACCACCAGCGCCGGCACATCTCCGCCGGGGATATCCATACCGGTACACAACGTCACCCCATTCGATGGACTAGGAGCTGCGTTCACCAATCGTCGCAACTCCTTCCATGTCCCAACAAGGAAGGGACCTCCCCACCCTTCTGTCATATAACTCCCGTAATCTTCAATCTTTACGCCTTCTGCGACCGCTCGCTCACGCACACCATCTTGCAAGAGCCGGTGAAGACTGTGATTTCCAATGCCAACGCCGTTTGCTTCCGCCACCGACATCAGTTCACGGTAGATGTCAATCAGTCCCTCCCAACACGCCTCTTCTTGTGCGAGATCTAACGGTTTACCGATGTCAACGTAGTGCAACACCGATGTGATACCAACCTCTCCCAAAATTTCGATCATCCGCACCATCGCATCAATGCAGCGACGGTCACGGTTCAACAAGATGTCTGGATTTGTTGAACCGTCACGCCAAGGCCGTGAGGGCCACTTCGCAAACCAATAGGTGGCACTCGGTACTTCAAGACTATTGTCTTCCAATCTCCCCTTGAATTCCCGCAGGTGGTCTGTAGCCGGATACCCATTTTCCTCATATCCGGGTAGGGAAGCACAACTAATAAAGACGCGTTCGACGCCGAGTTGTTTGCAACGTTCAACAGTTGCTTGCACATCAGTTGAGGCACCAATTCCGATTTTCATGGGGTTCTCCTCTGTTTTGGAAGGTGAGATTTCAGCATCAATCAAGTAACAATTATAGCACAACTCCATCAAGAACAGAATAGAAATGTGTAATCAAGCAAATGACCGGATAAGCGGTAAGAAATCCGTGCAAATTTCTTCAACGGATACAAATGGCTCCTGTCAAAGAGAGGACTGATGTGAAGGGACAAACGCATAAGGAAAATGGTATGTGAGGATAACCATTCATCCAACCGCCTTTCCTCGCTTCCTCCTGGTTTTTAGATGGGGGTGCTTAGGGAAAAAATTGGTACAGGGGGGTATCGGTCAGAATACTCAAAATACTCCAGAGGCTACCTGCCATATAGTCCCCTAATGCAAGCCCTAAAAAGAATGGAATTGCGCGACGATATGCGTTAAGACCTCCATAACGCAGGATAGCAGCCTTCAGTCCCCAAGTAACAAATAAACAGCACCACAGATTCCACATGCCCCAACTACTTGCCATCACATAACCGAGCGGATGAAGGGACCACCAGATAAAGCGCGCTCGCAAAAACATTAGCAGGACAGTCACCCCAAGTCCCCCCCCCATAAACGCGAGGGCAGGCTGATCGGGCTCTTGAGGAAAGGTCAGCCAACTTTCAAGTCGGTTATAGAAATGCCCCCACTCTGTGGTTGGTCCCATATAATATCCCGATTCGGCACCATGTTGGTAATAGTTATGTAATAAAAGCCAAAAAATTGTCACCGCTCCGATCAGTGTTGCAAGCAGAATGGCAACGGCTGTGTGACGTGGGTTGATATTCTGTCGCTCCGAAATTTTCAACGCTTCCAGTTGCTCTGGCATCGGATGGGTTCGATTGGCACGACTGAAATGCATGTACAACGTGAAGACGGTGAGGGTGCCGGCACCAAGTCGGCGTGTCCCAAAGGCAGCAACGATTAGGTGGTGAGGATCGATCTGGGCCCAGTGAAAATCGTGAACCAAGAAACCCAATTCGGCGCGGAGTCGGGCAATCATCGTTCCTAATAAAAGGTAAGTCCCGAAAAAAATGGGAACCACCCACAACGACATGCCAGCTCTGTAGGAAAAGACCATCAAGAAGAGCATGCCAAAAAAAATCCCTGCGAATGCAAGACGATAGGGCATCGCTTCACGCGCGTCTTCCAGCTGTGACGCAGCACCCCGAGATCGGAACAGATGGTATATTAACCGTTTGAAGTGAGCCCTACCTGTCCAAAGGGCAAATCCTAACAGTCCCACATAGACGCCGAAACCCTGTTCGCCGGCATAAGGAAATTTCGGGAGACTTTGCCAACCCATGATGTCGCCGGCTATCAGTTCAATCTTGTAGACCCAGTAAAACACCCAACATGAAAACAGTAGATCTAGCGGTATGAGAAAACTGATGCCAATTGCGAAGGGATAAAAAGAGATCCGTATACTTCCCATGGCGTTCCAAGGACGCTCGGTAAAATAGTGATGGACGTCCTGACGTTTGACAGGGAGATAGGGAAGGAAGGGATAGATTGAATCCAGTAGGTTGATCGTACTGATCAGCACGGCAATACCAAAGCCAAACCACATCAGTCTATTTTTGAAAAACCCCGATCGGGGATTTGTCATCTCCATTGGAAGTTGGATGAGTGGGTAGGTCAAACGCTCATGCTCAGTCCACTGCATCCGTAATAAAGTTATGATGCACAACATCACGACCATCAACACGAAGAGAAATGAGATCCACGCAAAGGCAGGGATAAGCCATGCCTTAAAATTTCCATCAACATAGAGGCTTGATTTTCCCTCATAGAAGCCGATTAGGGCCTCTTCGTCTCGGACGGTGAGCCATTGCGGCAGATGCTTCCAAAACAGTTCTCGCCAGTCGTTTTCGGGAGTAGCAAACCGAAATGGATGCCCCAAGATCGGAATTAAGATTTCCATGATGTCATAGGAGCAGAGACAGGTGACAATACATAACATAAAATAGACGGTGAAAAATTCTTGCTGGGTAAGAGTCAGCATCGGGGAAATTTTGCCAAGTGCGCGCCCAATTAGAAGGAGCCAAAAAAGAATAAAAATCACATTAAATAGCGGGTGTGTCCAAGTGGGGAATGTGTATCGAACTACTTCCAGTTCGATGATCCAATACACATTGATCGGCGTGAGCAACAGGGCGACGATGAAGGATTTGAGCGTTAAACCGCTTTGGAAGGTAGTAGGCGTGTCTTTCATGGGTGTGTACCTTTGGCAAGTTGATTTTTCCTAACCAATGGTGCTAGTTTAGTTTAGAGGTTATGAGACAGCTTCCTCAATTCTACCGTTAATCGGGCAGACAAACCCTACTCGATTAACCGGAGGCACCCGAACTGACGACCATTATAGATTTTATCACACAATTGTTCCGTTGGGTAGATGATAAACTCGCACAACAGACAATTCGGCGACAGTTGAGGGCTAATTCCAGATAACGTCTACAGGTTTTGAATAGCTTAAAGGGGTTCTCAGCCACTGTCATATTATTGATTAAAAAGATTGATAATCTTAAATATATATCCAATTTTATTAAAATAACATAATCTTTATGTTGTTAAAACCAATTTTTGAGAATATAATATCCCAACTGTTTCGCTATATTCGCTGTACGATCCCACATTACTCTAGCGCGGGCACAATATTGAAATCAATTCGCAAAGCGGTACAGGAGAGGAGTTCAGGTGGAAAACAGTGTCCGGACGTCTCTGGCGTCACACGAATTTCTTAAAACTCTGGTCGGCTGAGACAATCTCCGCTTTTGGAGATGCCATATCTGACGTGGCACTTCCGCTCATCGCGATTATAACTCTCGGTGCCGGGGCACGCGAAATGGGCATTCTTAGGGCACTCGATAATGCACCTATACTCCTATTCGGACTGTTTGTCGGGGTGTGGGTAGATCGAGTCAGACGGCAACCACTGATGATAGCAACGCAGTTTGGTCAGGGAATTCTCTTGGCAACAATTCCAATCGCAACTGTTGCGGGTGTCCTTCGGATTGAGCTGCTCTACTTCATCAGTTTCCTAGGGGGAACGCTATCAGCTATTTTCACGCTCGCGACAACAACGTTCCTGCCCTCCCTTGTCCCTCACGAGGATTTAGTCGAGGGAAACTCGAAGCTTTCGGTTAGTCGATCGGCGGCGAAAATCGTTGGTCCTGGACTCGCTGGGTTCCTAGTTGAACGCATTACCGCCCCGTTTACTGTTGCGCTTGATGTACTTTCATTTTTTATTTCTGGTATCTGCTTGGTATTCGTTCGGTCAGCGGAGGCGACTCCAATCTGTAACCACCGGGGCCCAAGGACTTTGGTATGAAATTGGTGAAGGACTTCGCACAATTTTCCTGCATCCAATCTTATTGGCGATGACCATTGGAACGACAATTGGCAGCTTTGGTGGCGCGATACATGGAACTGTATTTATCCTTTACTTGACTCGCGAGTTAATGATAACCCCTATTTGGTTCGGCATCATTTTGGCAAGCGCGGGTGGTGCGTCTCTTCTTGGTGCAATCGTCGCTAATTCAGGCGCACAACGCTATGGTCCCGGTCCAATGCTTATTGGTAGTACATTGCTTATGAGCATTGGAATGGGGATTGTCCCGTTAGCGGCTGAAGTCAGTATGTTCACAATTCCGATATTGGTGGTTGCACAGGTATTTCAAAGCATTGGGTTGACAGTTTACGGTATTAATCAAATTAGTCTCCGGCAAGCATTACTCCAAGCGAATTGCTCGGCAGAGTCAATGCTAGTCGGCGAGTGCTTGTATTTGGTGTCATCCCATTTGGCGCGATGATTAGTGGCACGCTGGGTGAAACGATAGGGACTGCAATTCACACTCGTTGTCGGTGGGGTCGTGGAATTCCTTTCCTTTGTTTTCCACCTGACCTCGCCTTTGCGTCATGTCATTGACTTTCGGAAGGTGTCCAAATGAAAAAACTCCCATAGAATCAAACAACTGAGGATAAGGTGAATAACTATGCGCAAACCAATCAGTAACTGCCCAATCTGCGACGGGCGACTTGAACCTGTCAAACTGAAATGCACTTCTTGTGAAATGGCAATGGAGGGACGTTTCCCAATTTCTAAACTTGGACTACTACCCTCGAATCAGCAGCAATTCGTTGAAACGTTCCTTGTTGCGAGGGGCAACATCAAAGAGGTCGAAAAAGAACTGGGAATATCATACCCAACGGTGCGAAAAAAACTGGATGAGGTCATCGACACACTGGGGTATGCACCTCACAAAAAACGGCAGGAACAACTCGAAATCCTTGATGCTATTGAGCGTGGCGAGATGTCTCCACAGGAAGGCATCGCAGCCATGCAAGCACTGAGCAATTCATTTCACAAGTCCACATAGGGTTGACCATCACCGAATTTAAGAAACAGACTACCGAAAAAATTAGGAGGTACAATCATGTACGCAGCACAACGAAAGGTACTCACTCTACTTCATGACCACAAGGTCACTGTTGATGAAGCCGAAGAACTCTTGAGCGCGATGGAAACGCCACAGCGGTCACCGGTGCCGTCAATTCCCAAGGTGGAGCTAGTTGGCACAAGTAAATGGACGCAACAGTTTCGCGTAAACCTGCAAAAGATTGCAGGGACGCAATCGCCTGTCCTAATCCAAGGGGAAACGGGAACAGGAAAGGAGCTTATCGCCCCGGATAATCCACTATAATAGCAAATATGCAAGCGGTCCCTTTGTCCCTTTTCACACGGTCATCGACAGGCACATCGCTTGTCGATAGCGAAATATTTGGTCATGGGGAAGGGGCTTTCACGGGGCAGTTAGCCAAAAAAAAGGATTGTTGGAAATAGCGAATGACGGCACGGTATGCCTCGATAAAAGTCGATGCGCTCCCACTCGAAACCCAAAATCGATTGCATGATTTTCTGGTCAACGGTTATTTCACCCGTGTTGGCGGGACAAAACCGATTTATGCCAATGTCCGTATTATCGGCACAACCCATGGCGACCTCAAGCAGTTTGTTGATCAAAAGAAGTTTAGATCGGACCTATACTATCGTCTGAGTATTTGTGTGGTGCAATCCCCACCGCTCCGAGAACGCCTTGAAGATCTCCCGGCTCTGGTACAACATTTCGTTGAACAACAGGCGAAATTAGATAGCAAGAAACCGCCCAAGGTATCTGATGGAGTAATGAGTATGCTTTATAAACATGATTGGCCAGAAAACGTTCGAGAATTGTATGGTGTAATATCGAGGGCAGTAGTGCTCTGCGAAGGTGATGAGATTACACCAGATTACCTCCCCACACTCGACCCCTCGCGGCAATCAGTTTTCACATTAGAAACACGAGGGCACAGAAATAAAGATAGAAAAACCGCTTCCTAAACGTTTTTCCAATGTTTAGGGAGCGGCAAAAAATTGACCATTTCATTCACTGTGCGATATAATAGTCATAATCGCTCACAAGTAGTTGTAGGGGTTGTAATCAGCGATTCCTGTGGTGGTCTTCATGGCAGCATCCTTTGCGGTTCTAACGAACCCCATTATTAAAGCTTCGCATAATTGCGATTTAATGGGAGGAAAGGAAAGCTTATGAGAAAAGTCGTTCTGTCAATACTGGGAGTTGTATTGTTTTTTCCGAGTATGTCTTACGCGCACGAAGGTGGTGGCGGCGGATTTATGTCAGGATTGACACACCCGGTTCTTGGCTTTGATCATCTTTTAGCGATGTTAAGCGTAGGGATTCTGAGTGCACAAATGGGAGGGCAAGCTATATGGAGGGTGCCATTAAAACTTTTGTGCTTGTGATGCTAGGCGGTGGAATTCTTGGAATAAGCGGCATACCAATACTTTCAGTTGAATTGGGGATAGCTTTTTCTGTCTTGGCGTTGGGTATTGCAATTGCTTTAGAAAAAAAACTTTCACCACTGTTAGCGATGGTGTTTGTGGGGTTCTTTGCGATATTTCATGGTCATGCGCATGGAACTGAGATGCCGTCTCTGTCTAAGCCTGTGTTCTACGCTTGTGGATTTGTTCTCGGAACAGCTGGCATTCATATTGCGGGTGTTTTGATTGGCATTATTGCGGATAGATACAAGGAGGGCGGACAGTTGCTGCGGTATGCAGGTGCAGGTATCGCTGGTATTGGATTTCATCTTATTATCGGCTAACTACCTAATAAAGTCTCGCGTTTGATCGCAGTCTATATTTTATGCCCGATAATTTTAAACTGTTCTCGAATTTTACCTTCTTTCTTGACGATCCGTAAAAAGGATAGAGAAACCGAGTTTTTGTTAAAAATTCGGTTTCTGGTATCCCCATAGACAGCGCGCTAGCGAATCGAGTGCCATTTTCTACCATGGAGGCAGCTTTAATTGTCCCTCGATCCATAAGTGATTCTACCAACGTTCACTCCTGTTCATCTTCGGGTGGCGGATTCACATAACCAGGATCCGCAAGTTCATCGACCTGTTTCCCAAATTTTCCATCCGTGTAATCAGCCTGCTTAACTTTCCACCCCTCGTCGCGGTCCTTCTTCATTAATGCAATCAGACCACCGCTGACTGCCCATTGATAACGGCCGCGTAACGTGGCGGTTTTGCCGATTTTATCGATTGCAACACTCTCGATGTCAACGGTCATTTTGCCGGTGCGCAGCCGGAAAATACCTAACCATGCCTGTTCAATTGTTTTCCAGCCAATGTGTTTCGCAAATGCCCCCGCCCAAAAGTCCCAAGTGACAAAGACATCAGCACTCTCGCTTTTCAACCAATACGCCATAAAAATTTTAGAGTCCTCTGTTCCAATTGCTTCGGAATATAGAGTAAAAACTTCTCGAATTGCTGCATCCTCCGCTTCAAAATCAACCTCAAGTTGTATGACTTGACCGCCACCGCTTGATGTCGATGGCTCAGTTGATGGCTGTGTGGGCTGCTGATCCTTATCATCCTCTGAATCCCCTCCACAAGCAATGAAGCCTACTACAAATAGCGCGCAGATTAAGTAAACTCTAAACTTCTGCTTCATCTATTCTCTCCTTCCTGCGATCATGTTCTTAGCACACAGTGCGTTACGGTCCTTGAAAATTTTCCTATCCCCAGAAAAATTCCGCTGACAAACCTAATCTGAAAATACGTGACACTTTTCATTTTACCCATATTTGAATGAAAAGTCAACGAAAATTGATGTGCCGAATTTTTTTGTAGACCCCTTGTTAAATATATGATAGCATAATCGCGTTTTGAGCAAATGCGGTGCAACAAGATAAAGGCTAGACCATTCGGAGGCAGTAAGCCGACATTGGCAGCGATTGGCATGGATTGTTACCATATCACCCGCAACACGATCGGACTAGCACCACCGCCTGCGAATTTAATCCAACGTTTGCAATCTATTGGGATCACCACATCTGTTCTCAAAAAGCAATTTCACAAAGCATGTCACTCATTCTGACTATACGACAAGTGATCGTTTATTTTTTAGGATGAGTCAAAATTTGGATAGGAGTTTATTCTTAATGGGACTTGATGTCGTTCAACTGACTAGGGATATTGTGGCGATTAATTCCGTTAGCCAGCGGAGCAATGAGGAGGTCTCGGATCTCCTTGAAAATACGCTAAAGCGATGTGAGTTTGAGGTCGAGCGTCTAGAATACGTCGATGACAATGGCGAGCGAAAGGTGAGTCTAGTAGGGAAGAAGGGAGAAGGTTCTGATGGTTTCGGACTGTTTTCCCACTCCGACACTGTTCCCGGTTTGGAGGGGGAGTGGGACCCATTCGACCCAGTAATTCAAGATGGTCGCCTTTTTGGTCGTGGCAGTTGTGATATGAAGGGCCCGATGGCTGCGACAATTACTGCGGGTGCCCAGATTAAATGCCGCCGATTTGAAGAAACCATTCTATATTGTCATCACGGCGGACGAAGAAGTTAGTGGTGGCGGGGCGCGCCAAGTCGCAGAGGAGTCAGAATTCTTCAAAGCGGAACGCCCCAAGCATGGTGTCATTGCCGAGCCGACACGATTGACACCTGTCTACGCCCACAAGGGAGGCGGGCGGGTCTTCGTAACCGCGAAAGGACGAGCGGCGCATACAAGCACAGATAAAGGGGTTTCAGCAAACTTCCTAATCGCGCCTTTCCTCGCGGAGATGGCGGAATTGGCGCAACTGTTCAAAACCGATGAATCCTTCATGAACAAGGAATTCAACCCACCGACGAATGGATTTAATATGGTGCTTGATGACGGTGGCTGTCGACCAAACGTCGCCGCAGCAAAAACAACCTGTACCCTCAGTTTTAGACCAATGCCAAATGACCGTAGCGACGATGTAATTACAATGATAACGGAAACCGCCGAGAAGTACGGTCTTGAAGCGACTTCGCATAAAAGCACGCCGTTCTATGTCTCGCCCGATGCTGAGATTGTCCAAGCAGGGATGAAAGCCACAGGCGCAGCCAAGCCGGGAACAGTGCCATTCGGTACAGATGCACACGCTTTCAAGCATCATTTACAACTTGTTATTCTCGGTCCCGGCGATATCGTCCAAGCACATACCGTCGGAGAGTGGATCGACATCGCACAGCTTTCAGAAGCTGTCGGTGTGTATCAACAGATGATCGAGACGTTCTGCATGTAGCACAGGGCAAGGAGAAAACCTTCCTATCTTCCCCTATTAAACGGCGTGGATTGAAATATCTAGCACTTCAAAAGCGTCTTGACACTCGCGCTACTCGTGCTATAATGAAAATCATTGTTGAGAGCATGTACGAAAAGTCCGAGGAAGCAGGTGTGTTCCGCAACAAACCTGTACTATCACCAGAGATCGAAAGGAAAAACATCAGATGAAACTTGCATTTTTCAATGACTATCAACTGGGCGTAATTAATGGCGATCAGATTGTTGATGTCGCTTCCGCACTGGGAGGTATTTCCTACCACAGCCCCCAAGAACTTATCGAAACACTCATCCAAGATTGGGACAATCTACAACCGCAGATCGCACAGGCTGCCGAAGGAATGCAGGGACAGGGCTCGATAGCGTTCGTCTCAGAGCTCCCCTTCCCAGACCAAATCAATTGGTCTGTCTTGCCGGCAATTACATAGAACCTGCATCCCCCGATCGGGGAGACTTTAACGCCTTTCTCAAATCCCCCACCGGCATCATTGGAAAAGACGATACGGTTCAACTCCCCGAGACAGATGCGACCGTTTTCCACTTCGAGCCTGAGCTCAGTGTAGTCATCGGCAAAACAGCGAGCCACCTCTCGCAAGCAGAAGCGATGGATCATGTCTTCGGCTATACCCAATTTATTGATGTGTCTGCCCGCGGTCTTCCCGGCGGTTTCTTCCTCGGAAAAAGCTGGCATACCTTCGCTCCGATGGGCCCCGCGCTAGTCACCGCTGACGAGGTCTCCGATCCAAACGACCTCGGAATTAAGCTCTGGGTCAATGACGAGCTTCGGCACGACTTCTCCTCTGACTCTATGGCACGTTTCATACCAGAGGTGTTAGAAGAGGTTACCAAGGTTATAACGCTTGAACCCGGCAACGTCGTAAACACGGGCACCCATCACTACGCCTTAGCGCCGATTCAGGACGGAGATAATCTGCATTTAGAGATCGAGGGCTTTGGTCCTTCGCTGACAATTAGTGTGCATGATCCACTGAAGCGGACATCTTGGCAAGCGCATTAAGAGCCTATTGCGGGCAGTACGCTGCCGCACTCGTAAAGATTGTGGGGACATTAATTACCGCTGGTCTCCCTGAGTCGGCGGCGCGCTGCAGGGCTGGACGGATCTCATCGGGTTTCGTGACAAGCTCTCCGTAACAATCCAGTGCTTCGGCAAGCCGCTCATAACTAACCGCCCGGAGATCTGTCGCAATGGCACGATCCAAACCGTAGCGCTGGATTTGTCGGTGTCTCACAATGCCCCACGCCTCATCGCTTGAGACTATCGTGATAATCGGTAAGTCATGCTTGAGTGCAGTATCGTACTCAATGATGCCATAACCGAAGGAACCATCTCCGGTAATCAGGACACTTGGGTGGTCAGGCCTTGCCACCTTGCCAGCTAACGCGAAGGGTACACCCTGACCAATACCACCGATGGGACCGGTGAACAATAAGTAGGGTGGGATGGTAGTGATCAAGTGCCATGTGCGAAAAGAGTGAGGCATCCCCACCATCAAGAGAAATTGTAGCATCATCCCCGAACAGTTCACGAACCTCCTTGCAGATGCGCAGCGGATGAACGGGAACGCCATCGGAGTTCTCCGCTTCAGCGAGTCGCTGCCGAAAACCTTGACGGACGAGATTCAGGCGTTCAACCCAATCTGTCGGTTTGTGAAAATCGTGTCGGGAGACACCGTTTGTCATCTCATTCAGGACGGGTTGCAAGTCACCGATGATACCAACATCAAAGGGACGGTTCTTGCCCATCTCCTCCGCATCGATATCGACACAGATAAACTTAGCCTCCTGGTGAAAGAGTGGCGGTTTGCCGTAGTCAATGTTTGTGTCGAATTTAACCCCCAAAGCAAGAATCACATCAGGCATTGCACAGCTCCTTTGAGGCATTGCCGAATCGGGTAGTCGCTGCGCCAAAAAAGAGTGGATGCGGACGAGTAATTGCGTTGACATCGCCGCCCCTTGCGAAGAACGGTATCCCCGTTGCTTCCACAAAATCTACGAGTGCACCCGCGGCGTTCTGCCAGTGAGTCGCGCCCGCGGCGATAATTACCGGGCTGTCCGCTTGTGCTAGCAACTTCAATGCGCGATCTATCTGCTCTGGATCGCCGTGTACTCTACCGTTCGCACGAGAGTTCGCCGGTTCAGGATAAGCGATTTCCGCATCGTCGATCTTGTCATACAATACATCGTAAGGCACGTTCAGGTGAACAGGTCCCGGACGCCCGCCCAGTGCCTTACGGAATCCTGTACCAACATACTCTGGCAGCCGCTCGGTCTGTGCAACCAATCGCGTCCATTTGGTAATCGGCTTGACCAATCCCGTTTGGTTGTATTCCTGAGAACCTCCCATGTCGATCTGATCCGCATCGCTGTTACCACTTATCGAGTACAGCGGACTACCCATCATGTGCGCCGTCGCTAGCCCGTAGATCATGGCAGCGTGCCCCGGTCCACGGGTGACACCGCTAACTCCTACGCCCCCGGTGACCCGTGCATACGCATCTGCCATCATTGTCGCAGATGGGTCTATGCGCGTATCGATGATTTTGATGCCGTCGTTCAGGCACCCTTCATAAATCGATTCGATCGTCCCACCACAGAGTGTAAATAGATATTCCACATTCTCTTGCTTCAGGACCTTTGTAATAATCTGACCACCTTCCAACATTGCCATAGTCTTCTCCTTATTTGACTCCAAGTTGCCAGTTATGTGCATCGCGATAAAATTGACCCCTATACCCGTAGGTTGGGCAAGATGCCCGACCCACAAAGCCGCAGTTGCTTTGAATCCCAATCTTATCGGGGCGGGGCGACAGGGGAAGGTAAGCGTAATCTAATTCAGCTTCGCTCGCAACTTCCTAAGCGCGACGAATGCGGGTTCATAATCAGGACTCTCGTATAAAGCACGTTTGTAGCTTTCGATTGCTTTATCCCACTCCAACCGATGCTCCCAGACACGCCCCAGATTCATGTGGGGATGACACCGCGCTTCATAATCAGGTGCTTGAATCGCTTTCTCCAACCAAGGGATAGCAGCATCATATTCGCCGAGTTGAATTAGACACGCACCGATATCGTTGTAGGGATTGCCAAAATCAGCGTCCAAGCGAATCGCTTTGTGGCACTCATCAATCGAGTCTTGGAAACGCCCCATCATGCTGTAGGTCCAGCCGAGCCATGTGTGCGCTTTCGCAGTAGGATGGAGGGCAATCGACTTCATGTACAACGCAATTGCGCGTCCAAACTCACCACGCATCTGGTGCGTTTCTCCCTCAAGCAGGTAAAGTAACGCCTGTTCTCTCCGCTCCAGTTCATCTTCGTTCACAGTAAACTCCTTACATCATCTGTAGATCGGGCTCCTCCCAAGCAGGACTTGGGAACGAGCAATTCCAATTTCCTCTTTAGGACTGCGCGATAGCAACTCTCTCGCCCTCCCTGCAATGAGATACTCTCCACCCTATTGAAGCAGCTCCGCCAATTCCTCCACATCCGTCGTCGGGGCTTGGCAAGTGTAGTTCTCGCAAACATAGATTGTCGCCTCACCATCAACCTGCGTCTTACCTTCCAGAAGCGGAATCAAATCGCTGACATCTTCTCCGTCGCTAGCCAAAGCGAGCACTTTGTTAGGAATATAGCGGCTATGAACAGCCGCCAACGCAGCCTGAGTATCCTCATTCTCTCGTTGACCAGCAATCGCAATCTCTTTGGGCGTGGACAGCAGAAAATCAAGTTCGCAAAGCATCTGCGCCGATCCGCTGGGCGAATGCTCAATTTGATGATAATAGACATCGAGGGTGGTCTCCACCTTTTCCCGGAAATCAGGTCGATTGAGCAGCTTGTCAAGCCGCAACAAACTGTGGAGTGCCATCGACACACCGGCAGGGGTTGCGCCGTCATAGCCCGGCTTCGATCGGACGATGAGGGTTTCGTGGTTTTGCTTGTAAAGAAAAAACTACCGTTCGCTTCGTCCCAAAACTGCTCAATCATTATCTGATTCAGTCGTTCCGCCTCTCTCAGCCACTCAACGGCGAAGGTGGCTTCGTAAAGATTGATTAAACCAGCAACAAAGTAAGAGTAATCCTCAAGGTAAGCATTCAAGTGGCTTTTGCCTGCACGGTGTGTACGAAGCAACAGCCCGTCATCTTGGGAAAGCTCAGACAAAACAAATCTCACAGATTTTTCTGCGGCTTCCCGATAACGTTCGTCGCCGAGGACCTGATACCCCATCGCCATGCTCCGAATCATCAAACCGTTCCAACTTGTGAGAATCTTGTCGTCTAGACCGGGCTTAATCCGTTCCTCGCGGACTTCAAAGAGTTTCCGCTTCCCTTCGGCGAGTATGTCCTCTATCTCGCCCAAATCTATGCTCAGTTTTCTAGCAAACAGCTCTGCCGGGGTCTGGACATGCAGGATATTTTTGTGCTCAAAATTGCCATGCTCGGTAATATCATAATATTCGCAGAAGATCTTAGCTTTCTCCTCTCCAAGGAGTCGTTCCACTTCGTCCTGCTCCCAGACGAAAAACTTGCCTTCAACCCCCTCACTGTCCGCATCTTGTGTTGAGTAAAATCCACCCTTTTCCGCATCGTACATCTCATCCAAAACGTAGTCTAGCGTTTCCGCGGCGACTTGACGATAAAAGACTTTCCCCGTTGCCTGATATGCTTCCAAATAAGCGACACTCAATAAAGCGTTGTCGTACAGCATCTTCTCAAAATGCGGGACAAGCCACCTCTCATCAACCGAGTAGCGGTGGAATCCGCCACCAAGCTGATCGTACATCCCACCGCGCGCCATTTTTCTCCAGTGTTACTTCGACCATATTAAGCGCGTTGGCGTTATCTGTGCGATGCCAATGCCTCAACAACAGCGAGAGTCCCATACTTGGCGGAAACTTAGGCGCACTCCCAAACCCACCCTCATGATGATCGAATCGCGACAGATAATCCTGATACGCCTGATCCAACATGTCAGTTGTCAATTGATGGCCATGTCCTTCCATTGCCGACAACTGATTCAGGTTGCCAATAATCTGATCCGCTTGTTCCCCTACCTCATCACGACGCTCCCGGTACGCCTCTGCAACGCCAAGCAGCACACGCGGAAACCCCGGACGCCCGTAGCGGTTATCGGGAGGGAAGTAGGTGCCACCGTAAAACGGCTTTAGATCCGGTGTCAGAAACATGGTCATGGGCCAACCGCCCTGTCCTGTAAGCATTTGGACCGCGTTCATGTAAATTTCGTCCAAATCTGGGCGTTCTTCACGATCAACCTTAATGCTAATAAAATGCTCATTCATGATCGCGGCAATCCCTTCGTTCTCGAAAGATTCGTGCTCCATGACATGGCACCAGTGGCAGGCAGCGTAACCGATGCTCAATAGGATGGGCTTGTCCTGCTGCTCGGCTTGTGCAAGTGCCTCCTCACCCCACGGATACCAATTGACAGGATTGTGGGCGTGTTGCAGAAGGTAGGGACTCGTCTCATTGATGAGTCGGTTAGTATGCTTCGGGTTATCAGACATTATCTATTCCTTCCTTTTGATATACTCTCAAACCTGAACGGTTGGGAGCCTTGTGAATCCGTCTGTATGAGTGGCTAGTGAGCGTGTCTTTTTTACTAACTCTCGATCACTGCGTTACAACCCTAAAAAAGAGTGACTGAACCCCTGCCCTCAAGCTATCTTTGTAACATTTGAAAATGGATTTATGTAGATTTTAGAATTAATTAGATACTGTGAATGCGAGGTCAGAACCTTGTTCGCGGAGTTACGGCACACGGCGTGTGCCTACTACTTTTAATGTCTGTTTATTTTTAGAATTCACTATAGTATCACTTATTATTCATCAGATTCAGGTTGCGATGTGTCACCAAACTTCACGCCGGAGACCTCTGCAGCGTTAGCAACCTCACGTACAATCTGCATTGCAAGGTCTGCTAGGTTCTGTGCAAACGCTTGGTTACCCTGCTTAGATTCTACTGAGTCGCGGTAGCGTGTGCCACGCTGCAGTCCAGCCAATCGATGGTTAGCAATGCCAAGTGCCGTAGTAACAAGTTCGGTTGGTACATAGAGGGGTTCTGGGGATGACACTTCCGTTGACTGTTCGTGCATTTCGGTTGTCTCAACGGCATCACCCTGATGCGATCGGGGACTCAGAGCAGCCTGCTAGAAACGCTTCTTGGCGGGACTCTATCTGTTCCAGGGCCCGCTTGGTTGCCATCTGTTCCGCCCAGCGCTTGGATCCACGAATTGGTGCAGACGTGGTGTAGGTTGTTTCCCCATATTTAACAGTAACAATCCAACTCGGCTCATTGGGTGTCCCTTGCTGATTTGTCTCGTAGGTTAAATCTCCTAACGCCCGTTTTTGACAATATTGTTGTAAGATACCTTTGTAGTTTTCGACCGCCGTGTTACTGATCGCTTCTGACATTCAAGCCTCCGGAAGTAGGGGTATAACTGTGTATCCTCTGATGGAGAGCAACAGATAGATTCGTCCTTGCTTGTTTCAACTTCGTTGTAGTGTATCAAAAAATAATAGCAAACTCAAGGAATTTCCATCTTGATTCAGCTAGATGAGGGGTGTAGCCATCTGTTCAGTAAATATATTTTGAGATTTTAATCATTTTAAGGGTTGCATAATATGGGAATTTTTGCTAAAATGTAATATTAACGTCACATTAATATTACAAAAGAGTATGGTAATCCCTGTTATCTATTTACTTTGACCCCTAATTTCATCGGGGATGAACTCCGATAGAGGTATTTGGGAGGGACCTACAGGGAACAACGCTCATTTGTATTTGTATACACCAAACATTTAATAACCTATTAGGAGGTTGCTTAACAATGAAAACACCAAGCTTATTAACATGCACGCTTATGGCACTTTGCGTTGTCGGCATGGCTTCTAGCAGCTTTGCTGCGATTACCGAGGTTGTCATCAGCGCAGAAACAATCAAAGATTTTGGTGAGATATCGCCAGAAAATACTGGATTTGCTCGAGATGCCGATGCCTCCAACGGTCTTGCGTTTCAGTTTATCGGTGGTGCAGTGAATCCACCGGTCGAAGAACCACCATCATGGTGGGAGGTCGAGTTCTGGTGCGAGAAAGGCACCTATTTCGTCTATGCAAGAGGCAAAAGTGATGGTGACACCGGTAGTGATGCCTTTTGGCTACAGTTTGATAACCAAATTGGCACTTTGGAGCACACCGCCGACCCGGACTTTTTAGGACGTGGGTTGGGCAATTGGCGTGACGTTTTTGATGCCGGCATTTACAAATGGATTAGCCAAGGTGTTCCGCCGGAAACAACTGTCGAGTGGGAGGCAAAAGAACGCGGCCTTCATCGGGTACGTTCAAGCCCGAGGCAGGCTCCGCATTCTTTAGATCAGCTGCTACTCAGTCAAGACCAAGACGAGAAGCCGGACGACGATCCCTGGCCAACGGAATTTCCTCGAAAAGATCCACGTGCTGTTGAGAGCAAAGGGAAACTTGCAACCACTTGGGGTATCCTCAAAAGTGGTGGAAAACCAGCAGTTACTCGCTAGAACCATCTGTGTGGTGTAAGTGTAATGGGGCTTCAGATTTATCGTTGTTCTCCATTACACTTACGCCATCATTTTCTATGAATCTCTTATCTGTGTTGAAGGGAACTTATCATTTTTGGAAAGGAGCTAACAATGTCACGTAAAGGTATTATCGCCCTAGTGGCGAGTTTGGTATTCCTTTTGTTCATTAATCCAATACACGCGCAGGTGCCAATGGCATCCTACCTTTGTGAAGTAGGCGACAAGGATGAAGTTTGCATCGTCTACCACGATGGAAATATTGTGCAGGCAACCAAAAATAATGTACTAACCTTGACACCCGAATGGTCGCCCGATGGGAATTTCATCGCATTCAGTGCCAATGTACGCGGTGGCGAGAACTTTGACCTATTTCTAATCGATATGACCGATCCACAGAAACCAAAGGTGTCAAATTTCACAGGAGACGCACTTGGCGTCAAATTGAATGAACCCAAATGGGCACCAGCAGGCGACCCACGCATCCTTGTTTATGCAACTACTCTGCCAAATGCTGACAACTGGGATGTGGGTCTGCTAACGTTAGATGCAAATGGCGCAGCGGATGCCTTGATCAATATCACAAATGCAGACGCGGAAGGGGTAGGCCAAGATCAGAACGGTTCATGGTCCCCAGATGGAACCAAGATTGTCTTTCAGGGCGAACGCAACGACAAACTGAACGGCAAGAAACAGTTTGACATATTTATAGCGGACGCAGAAAAGAAGGGGGCTGGAAAAAATCAGGTTAATCTCACCAATAATGAACATCCTGACCAGAAAGCACAGTGGTCCCCGGACGGGACAGCTGTTATATTTGAGTCGAAGCGAGATGGCAATTGGGAACTTTACCGGGTTGATATCACCGGTGAAAACCTCCAGCGATTGACAAACAATGACAAGACCGACAGAAGGGCAAATTGGTCAGTCGGAGGCATCCTCTTTGAAAGCCAGCGCGATGGCAATTATGAGATTTATCGCATGGATCCGGATGGAAACAACCAAGTCAATCTCAGCAATGACCCCGGTAGTGATAATAACCCTATCTGGTCACCTAAAGGGAGAAGAATCCTATTTGAATCCAGACGCGATGGCAATCGAGAGATCTATACCATGAACGCCGATGGCGGCGGTCTAGTGAACATCAGCAACAATCCTGATGGCGATGACACCTATGCACGATGGAATCCGGTCTTTGAACTCCGTTCTGTCGAACCACAGGAGAAATATTTTACAACCCTTGGAGACATCAAACGCACCAGTTGATGCAGAATTTCCCCAACCCTTTCAATCCTGAGACGTGGATACCCTACTATCTCGCCGAGACCGCTTCTGTAACTGTGCGAATCTACAACGTCAAAGGCGAGTTAATCCGGTCCATTAATGTTGGAAGACAAGCGGCAGGGGCTTATACAACCCAACAGAATGCAGTCTACTGGGATGGTAAAGACGAAACCGGACAGTCCATAGCAAGTGGAGTTTATTTCTATCAGCTTGTGGCGGATGACTTCTCCGAAACACGACGAATGGTAGTAATGAAGTAGAGTATTTCGAGGTTTTTCACTGGCACGGTATCGGGCGCATCCCTCATTCTAAATGCTTTACGTTCGCACCCGTGTATCGATCCTCGTCAATCACCTCTCACCATTGAGTTAAGCGCGGGTTGAACAGGTTGTCGAACATTCCGGATGGAAATGTTGAATCACACGCCCTCCATTCTATAGTGCCCCCTGAGGACTTGGCAAACGCGGTTTTGTCTATCAGGCTTGATGGTATCGGTAAACCGAACCTGACTTAGTTGTTGTAGAACTTCCCGAATCCGTTCAACCCTGAAACATGGATTCCGTATCAACTTGAAAAATCGGCAGATGTTGTTCTCCGGATTTATGACACGTCCGGTCGTATGGTGCGGACGCTGGATCTCGGTTTTAAGTCGCAGGGGTCTACATGACGCGTTCGACAGCGGCGTACTGGGATGGGCGTAACAACATGGGTGAGCAGGTTGCCTCTGGGGTTTACTTCTACAGTTTGCATACCCCTGACTTTTCGGCGACACGGAAGATGCTGATTTTGAAATAGGAGGGCTTGCAAAGAACGGGGTAGGAGCACTTGGAAAGGAGCTAACAATGTCGCGCAAAGGTATTATCACCCTATTGGGATGCTTAGTCCTCCTGTTTATCGGTCCAACATACGCACAGGTGCCAATGGCATCTTTCCTCTCCGATCGTTCAGGTGATGATGAGGTCTATCTTCTGTATGATAACGGCGAGGTTAAGCAACTCACAAATAATAAAACCAAGGTGTTTACTCCTGAGTGGTCGCCCGATGGTAAATTTATTGCTTTTGATGCCAATGTGCGTGGTGGTGAAAACTTTGACCTGTTTCTGATAGATCTCACTGACCCGCTAAAACCGAAACAGATAGACCTGACAGGACCGCCCGACGGGCCGGGAGTAAAACTATCTGGACCCCGATGGGCACCTGCCGGTGATCCGCGGATACTTCTCTTCTCTACAGCCTTGCCAGACCCCAACGGCTGGGATGTAGGGATGCTCACGTTAGATGCAAAAGGCAAAGCGGGTGCCCTGATTAACATCACGAATGCAGAGGGCGAAGGAATCACAGCGGATCTGGAGGGCTCATGGTCCCCCGACGGGACTAAGATTGTTTTTGAGAGCGAGCGTAATAAAATTAACGACAGAGCCCAGTTCGATATTTTCATCGCCGACGCGGAAAAACGGGGTGCCGGAAAAAACCAGATTAACCTCACTGATCATGAGGCACCGGACCAGCGGGCACGTTGGTCCCCAGACGGAACAGCGGTCATGTTTCAATCCAAGCGTGATGGTAACTGGGAAATCTACACCATAGGCATTGATGGTGAAAACCTTACGCGGATCACCGAAAATGATAAGACCGATAGAAACGCTGAGTGGTCTCCCGGCGGCATCGCCTTTGAAAGCCAACGCGATGGTAATTATGAGGTTTATCGATCTGACCCCGATGGAAACAACCAAGTCAATCTCAGCAATGATCCCGCAAGCGATCAGAGGCCTATCTGGTCACCTAAAGGACGCGAATCTTATTCGAATCCAAACGGGACGGAAAGCGAGAGATATACTTCATACAAGCCGATGGCGGTGGTCTGAGGAATCTCACGAATCATCCTGAGAACGACACAGATGCCAGATGGAATCCAGTCTTTGAACTCCGTTCTGTCGAACCACAAAGCAAGCATTTCATCACCCTTGGAGACATCAAACGTACCAGTTTGATGCAGAATTTCCCCAACCCCTTCAACCCAGAAACCTGGATAGCCTACTATCTCGCCGAAGCCGCCGCCGTAACCGTGCGGATCTACAACGTCAAAGGCGAGTTGGTTCGGTTCATTGATGTTGGCAGACAAGCAGCAGGGGCTTACACAGGTAAACAGAGCGCAGCCTACTGGGATGGTAAAGACAACACCGGGCAATCCGTAGCAAGCGGGGTTTACTTCTACCAGCTTGTGGCTGACGACTTCTCCGAAACACGGCGAATGGTAGTAATGAAGTAGGCACCCGTGGGAAACCCCGGCAAACCTATTGCGCTCGCCGCTATAGTTAACGCTTTACATATTGGGGGCCCCCGCTCCCCTTCCACCGCTATTTCTCTACAATTCAAGTTTCTTCCCCCAAACTCTAAACCCCCGATCTAATCGAAAGGAGACAACAATGTTTGGCAAAAACTCTATAATATTTTGGCGAGGCTTTCTGTTGGTCCTTCTTGCTTCCCTAAGTGTCGGCACCGTTTATGCACAGGTGCCAATGGCATCTTTTCTCTGCGACAAGGGTGCTGGCCCTGAAGTTTGTGTGGTGTACGATAATGATGAGGTTAAGCAACTCACAAACCATAAGGTGAAAACGCTGACCCCTGATTGGTCTCCCGATGGTAATTTTATCGTTTACAGTGCAAATATCGCAGGTGGCGAGCGATTTGATCTACGTATCATAGATATGACAGACCCACAAAAGCCAAAAGACAAGGATTTGACCGGAAAACCGCTCGGTGCGAAACTGAATGAACCTATATTCGCACCGAAAGGTGATCCAAGCATCCTTGTGTATTCCCAAGAGCTGCCACAGCCCGCAAGTTGGGATGTCGGTCTATTGACTTTGGGCAATGACAACAAACTGGGAGAGTTGATCAACATATCAAATGCAGAGGGTGAGGGTATCAACAAGGACCAGAAAGCCACTTGGTCGCCCGACGGGACGAAAATTGTGTTTGAAAGCAATCGCGATTTGATTGATGGCAAATCTCAATTTGATATCTTTATTGCCGACGCATCAGAAAGAGATATCGGCAAAAATCAAATCAATCTCAGCAACCATGTTGAACCGGACGAATGGGGCCGTTTTTCGCCTGATGGTATGCAGGTCATCTTTCAATCGAAGCGAGACGGCAATGCAGAACTCTATGTTATCGATATTGATGGAAACAATCTGACACGGTTGACGGACCACGAGAAAACCGACAGACGACCTAATTGGTCGACAGGCGGCATCCTCTTTGAAACCCAGCGGGACGGAAACTGGGAAATTTATCGCATGGATCCTGATGGGAATAATAAGGTCAATCTGACAAACGACCCCGGGACCGATGGCTATCCAATCTGGTCACCCAAGGGACGAAGAATTCTGTTTGAGTCGAGGCGAGATGGGAACCGAGAGGTGTACCTCATGGACGCCAATGGTGGTGGCCTGAAAAATCTCAGTAATAATCCTGACGGTAACGACACCTATCCCAGATGGAATCCATTCTTCGAACTCCGTTCTGTCGAACCACGCCAGAAACATTTTACAACCTTTGGTGAGATTAAGCGCGGTACGCTGTCGAAAAACTAGTTGAATTCCCCTAACTCAAAGGTGTAGGTCCTGCATTTTCGTCAATGTTTCTGTGCTCGAATGGCGTTGACGACGCAAATGTAATGAATATGATTGTGCTCAACCTAGCACAACCCCTTAGAAAGGAGAACAATAAATATGGCAATTAATAAGCTAACGCTTTGCGTGAAACCTGATCGCATTTGTCTCTTCGCAGGCTTAATCTTGTTTAGTCTGTCAGTCATAACCGGTAATAGTTTGGCAGCAGATGACAACTGGGAAAGAAAAGAAAACATGCCAGAGCCATCAAGGTGCTGTACGGCTGCTGCCAGCATCGGTGGCAAGGTCTACGTCATAGGCGGGATTGAAGTGAACCGCGCACCGCACCTTCCGAATCCCGGTGACATGACACTAGACCTCGTCCAAGAATATGATCCAGCGACCAATACATGGACAGCGAAAAGGAGTATGCCCACAACAAGAGCACGTATGGCGGCAGTTGCGTTTGATGACCTGATTTATGTGTTCGGAGGCGCCGAGAGGCGTGGTGGCAAGGTACTTGACGCGGTAGAAGCATTCAACCCAGAAGCAGGGGAGCGCGGGGCGTGGAAGAAGCTAGCAAAGTTACCTACAGCACTTGCGGCAACTTCTGCAGCGGTGGTGGGTGACAAAATCTATGTAATTGGTGGTTGGGATAGAGGCGCACAGCAAGAGGCGTTCGGAACGGTTTTTGAGTATGATCCGCAAGAAAATACCTTTGATCAGAAAAGGGATATGCCAACGCCAAGAGGTGGTCTTAGTGCAGCAGTCTTGCAAGGAAAAATCTATGCTATTGGTGGATGGAATTTTGAAGAGGTGCTAGATACTGTCGAAGTCTACGATCCGGCGACCGATACATGGGAAGCCAAAAAGCCGATGCCAATCAAAAGAGCTCTTTTTGGCGCGGCAACTTTGAGCGGCCGAATCTTCGCAATCGGTGGTCTGTCGACATTTAGCGATGGTGAAAATGATGAAGTTCTTAAAAGGATCGATGTGTACAATCCCGTTCTCGACGAATGGGTCGTAGATGAGGCCGTACCATTACCACGAGCGAGAGCAGGTATCCCAGCCACGGTAGCGTCGAACAAGATTTATGTTCCGGGCGGTCGAGCTGCGATACAGTCGTTCCCATCAATTTACGAGTACACACCCGGAGCCCTGTCTGTCTCTCCACAAGACAAGCTAACGACGCTGTGGGGAAAACTTAAACAATCCTAGCACTTCATCGTACTTGAAGTGATGAATTATGTAAAAAAAGCATAGCGCGAAGAGACACCGAGTTTTTGTCAAAAACTCGGTGTCTGCTGCATGATTTCTTAACATGAGTCCAGCCTGTTTTACGTAGCAACTCCCCAAAGCACGACAAGGAAGTGATGAACCTGAACGAAAAAGGCGAGGCTAAACAACCAAACGCCTCTCGTATTTCGATAAAGTCAATTCTGTTTGGATTACTGCTGATGCCGCTGTGTGCATATCTGGTGGCGCTTGAGGAGATGATATGGCATTCCCTCCACTGGACATCAATGTCCCTGCCTCAACTCTCAATCTTCTTTCTCTTTTTCTTAATTATCTTCAACAAAATCGCCGGACGGTTTTTAACAAGAAATCCGTTTTCGCAAGCAGAATTGTTAATGATTTATTCGACCCTTTCTGCAACCACAGCATACACCGCGCACGACAACATGGTCTGCATGATGGGGGTACTTAACACGCCTTTTTCTACGCCACCCCAGAAAATGAGTGGGCAGCCCTCTTCCACAAACACCTCCCCGACCTGCTCGTTATCCGTGACCCCAATGCGGTCAACTATTTCTACAGAGGCGAATCCGCTTTCTGGGCAAGCGGCTATTATCAATTCTGGATTAAGCCTGCCATCGGTTGGTCTTTTCTGCTTGCTGTCCTATTTTTCATGCTGCTCTGCATCAATGTCATTCTCAGGAAGCAGTGGATTGAAAACGAGCGACTCGCCTATCCAATTATTCAGATTCCGCTGGAGATGACCGATGCGCGCGTCAGTTTCTTCCGTAACCGGATGATGTGGATTGGGTTCACCGTTGCTGGAGTGATAAGCCTCCTCAACGGCTTGAACTTCCTCTATCCGAGTGTTCCGCGCATACCGATAAAAGAGCCACACTACGACCTAGGCGTCTACTTCAACGAGGAACCGTGGAACGCCATCGGCTCACTGCCCCTGCGATTTTATCCGTTTCTGATTGGCCTCTCGTTCCTAATCCCCTTAGACCTTACCTTCTCGACTTGGTTCTTCTTCCTATTCCGCAAATTAGAGCGACTGGTCGGTGCGATGGTTGGTTGGAGCACCATCCCACAATATCCGTTCTTTGGCGAACAAGCCACCGGTGCCATGATCGGGCTATGCGTTACAGCACTCTACCTAGGTCGCCGACACTTCGGTGAAGTTTTCAGAAAAGTTGTTGGTCTCCAATCCACGATTGACGACACTGACGAACCGATGCGTTATCGAACTGCGGTGCTCTGTTTAATCGGTGGCATGATTGCTCTGATGATATTCTGTAGCCACTTAGGGATGTCCCAATGGCTTGTCCCACTCTTCTTCGCGCTTTATTTCATGATCGCCACCGCACTGACGCGAATGCGTGCGGAATTGGGGCCACCTCTGCACCCAATTAGATTGGTGAATCCACAGGTTATCCTCGTTGCAGCCTTTGGGACGCGAAGACTCGGCACAGCGAATCTGACCATGTTCTCCCTACTCTTTTGGTTCAACCGATACAACCGCAGCCATCCGATGCCGCATCAGTTGGAAGCGTTCAAGTCGGCAGAACGCACCCATGCTAGCACCAGTCGCCTCTTTTGGGCGATGATGATCTCTTTGATTGTCGGTTTGGTAGTTTCATTCTGGATTTTCCCCGTCGTCCTCTACCAATATGGTGCATCAACGGCTGGAGAATTGCTGGGGGCAGGTTGGCAGGCATATAATAGCCTAGGAGGGTGGTTACAGTACCCACGCCCACCGGACCCGGTCGCCGGCAGTATCATTGGAGGATCACTGCTCTTTTCCATGTGGATGTCATGGATGCGAATGCGTTTTCTATGGTTTCCCTTCCACCCAGGTGGATATATTCTCGGAGTCAGTTCCGGCACAATTGACGTTTACTGGTTCGCGCTTTTCGTCTGTTGGCTGATAAAACTACTGGTACTCAGACACGGCGGAGTGAAAACCTATCGGAAGATTTTGCCCTTCTTCATGGGATTGGTGGTCGGAGATTTCATCGTCGGCACCTATTGGGGCTTGCTCAGTATCATCCTAGGAACACCCCTGTATACGACGTGGTTCTGAGGTAAAAAGACAGCAATTGATCTCACGTTTCATGTATCATCTTCTCTATCCTAAAAACCTGTTTTCAGAAGCAAGAAATTGTCCCAAAGTGCTGTGGATTTGTCAATCCACAGCGAGCCGCATTGGGGGGGTAAGGTTGAGTTCTCCGAACCCGTTGGGCGAGGGGACCTCGCCCCTACGAAACCAAGTCCCCGATAAATCGGGATGCAAGTTGAAAACTCTCGGAACGGAGTTAGGTTGAACAGAACCTATTTAACCGTTCAATCCAACCTACACTTCTATAGGCCTGATGCACTCAAGGTAGCAACTTGCGTTAATATAAGCTATCACCCCTAAAAAACGAAAACTATATCTCGCCTCAACAAGAAAATTCAATTTCGAGACAACAGAAAGCTATGAAGCAGGTCGAAACCTCCCGCCTCTCAGTCAAAGCAATCCTGTTTGGGTTGCTGCTCATGCCCCTGTGCCTCTACCTTGTGGCACTTGAGGAGATGATATGGCACTCCCTGCATTGGACCTCCATGTCCCTCCCGCAGCTTTCAATTTTTTTCCTGTTTTTTCTGATTTTGCTTAACAAAGTAGGTGAAGGTTCATGGCGAAGGAACCCCTTTCACAAGCGGAACTGCTAATGATCTACACCACAGTCTCTGCAACGACAGCAGTCACCGCCCACGACAACATGGTCTGTATGATGGGGGTTATCCCCCACGCCTATTTTTACGCCACACCTGCAAACGACTGGGCAAATCTCTTTCACAGATACCTTCCGGATGTGCTGCTCGTCCGAGACCCTGAAGCTGTGGAGTATTTCTACAAAGGCGAATCTGCCTTCTGGGCGACAGGTTTCTACCGATTCTGGATTAAGCCCGCTATCGCATGGTCATTCCTGATCTCTGTCCTCTTTTTTATGCTCATCTGTCTCAATGTTATCCTTCGGAAACAGTGGGTCGAACACGAGAGACTCGCCTATCCGATTATCCAGATTCCTATGGAAATGACTAATCCCACCCATGGCTTCTTTCGCAATCGACTCATGTGGATAGGCTTCGGTGTCGCAGGCGCGATCAGCCTTATCAACGGTGTGAGTTTCATGTATCCGAAGATCCCCCATGTTCCAATCAAGGAACCCAGCTACAATCTGGGCGTCCTTTTCACAGAAGAGCCGTGGAATGCCATCGGCGCGTTGCCAATCCGGTTCTACCCATTTCTTATTGGTCTCTCCTTTCTGATACCTTTAGATCTCACCTTTTCAACCTGGTTCTTCTTTCTGTTTCGTAAAATGGAACGATTGGTCGGCGCGATGATGGGTTGGAATAGCTTCCCACGTTATCCGTTCTTTGGGAGAACAAGCCACCGGGGCAATGATCGGGCTATGTGTGATGACGCTCTACATGGGACGACGGTACTTTTGGGAAGTTTTCAAGAAGGTCATTAACCTAAAATCAACGCTTGATGATTCCAACGAGCCGATGCGTTATCGGACAGCAGCACTCTGCTTTATCGGCGGGATGATCGCCCTGATGTTCTATTGCAACAGTTTGGGGATGTCTCTATGGCTTGTGCCGACATTTTTCGGTCTCTACTTTATGATTGCTACAGCACTCACGCGAATGCGGGCAGAATTGGGGCCTCCCTTACACGCAATCGTCCTCGTGAACCCACAGGTAGTTCTCATTTCTGCGTTCGGGACGCGCAAAATCGGTGCGCAAAATCTGACTATGTTTCGCTGTTTTATTGGTTCAATCGATTAAATCGAAGCCATCCTATGCCCCACCAATTGGAAGCGTTCAAGTCTGCTGAAGGCACCGGTGTCAATACCCACCGACTCACTTGGGCAATGATGCTCTCTCTAATTTTCGGCGTCCTTCTGGCATTCTGGATCTTTCCGGTCGTGCTTTATCAGTACGGAGCCTCAACCGCCGGGGAATTGTTAGCGGCAGGCACCCAAGCGTGCAACAGCTTGAGCGGCTGGTTACAGAATCCGAAGGAGCCCGATACTTTAGGCGCAGGTATCATCGGTGGTTCGGCTGTTTTCTCAATTGTAATAGGTTGGATGCGGATGCGCTTTATATGGTTTCCATTTCACCCGGCAGGATATATTCTGGGCATCAGTTCAGGCACAATTGATGTCTACTGGTTCGCGCTCTTTGTCTGCTGGGCGATAAAACTGCTAATTTTAAAACACGGCGGGGCGACGGCGTATCGGAAGGTTGTCCCGTTTTTCATGGGACTGGTGGTTGGAGACTTCATCGTCGGTACTTATTGGGGGCTGCTGAGTATTATTCTGAAGACACCCTTGTATACAACATGGTTCTGACCGAAAAATAAAACGGGAAAACAAGAGGATACCACTTTCTCGTTTTCCCGTTTTCCTAGCTTACTTCTTAGACTGAGTATACTACTAGCACACTGCCGCAATAACTCACGGATTCAACCGGTGCGCCCACTCGACTACCCGCTCCCTGTGTGCATCACCGCCACCGCTGTGCATGTCGTAGGGGTAATGCAAGATCTCCTTCTCGCAGGTGAGATGGTTATAGGTAGCATAAACAGTAGAGGGCGGACAGGTTGTGTCCCGCAAGCCAACAGAGACCAGCGTCGGACAGGTTATCCACGGCGCAAGGTTCATATTGTCAACGTAGCTCAACGTCTTCATCCCTTCCGCTTCCCGTTCAGGATAGCGAATGAAGTAGTTGTTCAACTCGCCGTATTGGTTCTCTCGTGCCATCTTGACAGCATCAGGATAGTAGCATAGGAAGGGAACCATCGGCATCGCAATGGCGGGTCGGTCGCTCAGTGCTGCGACAGCAAGACTCAAGGCACCGCCCTGTGAACCACCTAGCACACCAATCCTATCAGGATCGACCTCTGGACGCTCCGCTATAAATTCGACGCCGCGCGACACAGTCCATATAAGCGAAGCGAGTAGAGGTATTCCTCCTTGTCCATGATACCCCGCGTCATCCAGCCGAGCCCATGTCCCCCTTCATATTCAGTCCAGTCCGGTGCCTCGCCACGTCCACGCACATCCATTGCTAACACGACGAACCCCATCAACGCCCAAGGCAAATGGGTCGAGATCCTATCGCGATAGCCGTGATAACCGTGGTAGATTACCAATGCCGGCGCGGGGCGGGGTCTTCGGGGATGAAAAACCAACCACCTGCCCGCGGCTGGCTGGTCACTTCCACCCGCAAGCCCATCAAACGTCGCAGAAAACACCTGAACCCGTTTTACAGGATAGTCAATAGGAACCAGTCAGGGTTCAACGGTTGTGCCAAACTCTCCGCTTTCGTGCGTTCCCAAAACTCCTCAAAGTCCGGCTGCGCGGTACGGGGCGGTTTGTAATTTTCCAACTCTTCTAACGGTAAATCAAATGTCCACATCTTATAGGTCTCCTGTTATCGCACAAACTGATGGTCGGTAATAACGCCTATTGCTCCCTACTGCGCTACGGGTTTAACCGTTCTTGCATCCAGCGGATCAATTCTTCAATGCCTGCGCCATGTCCATCGTAAGGCAACACCTTTAACTCCTTTTCACCCTCAATAAGGTTGTAGATACCCACTGAGTCTTGAGGCGGAGCGGTGTTCCCCTGTAAACCGAGCGGGAAGAGCGAAGAACAATTCACACGGTGAGCAATATTGACAGGGTCAAAGTATGTTCAGCGTATTCCAAACAGTCCTCTCATGTCAGGATAGCGGTTAGTAAATCTAACTTCATCTGTCGGCAATACTGCATGCGCTGATAACGTGTTCGCTCCCAGTTTGCAGGATACGGTCCGACTGGCGCAATCGTGTTGATCTGCGAATTAAATGCTGCTGTCCATAAACTATAAACCCGCCTAACCCATCTCCAATGATTCCAATCGATCGGATCAACCTCCTCGCGCCCGTGAGAAACTGAGCCGACTCGGAGTCCTCGGCAATGCATCCGCGTAACGAGTATCATGCGAATCCTGGATGCCTTGACGCGAAGTAGTAACCTTGTTATTACCCCACGAGTTGATGAGTCAAGTCAGAACGACTCCTTCGTGTCCACGACTGATCCGGCACGAGCACAACAATCCCTGAAGTGCCACGATAGGGTGTGCAGATACGTCCACGAAAACGAGGTACGTCGTGCACGGATGAGTGCGGGAGCTTCTCGATGTGTGGAGGTCGCAGCTACGAGAAGCCACGCCTGATACGGCAACGTCCAAAGCATCGAACGAGACCTGATAGGCAGAGAGCTTCTTCGCTGAGGGTACTCTCAGTGAGACCTCTGGCTTTTCAGCGGTTGGGATTGGGCTCAAAACAAGCCGATTTCGTTTCTCCCAGAACCGTCAAAATCAGCCTCCGCTGTGCGTTCCGGTTTCTCGGCAAGCCTTCTTCAATTTGCGTTCCATAGTGGCATAAATAATCTCCTTGTACAAAACAACGAGTGCCCACAATCCTTTGTCCAAGGATTGCAAGAACAAGTGCTGGTTTGTCAGCAATCGTAAAAATTGTTTGCACACTATGTAGGACAA